ACGGGTGCAGGGTTAATTCGATTTAACGGCGCTAACTTCGACATAAACGCCTAGTGTAGACCAGGCCTAAGTGCCCCTTGGAGAGCGTCTATGTAAATACTGACTCCGCCATGTAGTCTAGCCAACACTGTATCCATGAATGCTTAGTCCTGACACTGTGTTATGCCATTAGGCCAGTGATACTCAGACCTCTGCGGTTCAGGAGCCAAATTATCAACATTACCCAAAAGAGCCACAGTTATGTGAATTCATTGTTTCATTTACTATAGTACTATCTAGTCATATTTAAACAGTATGACAGGGAAATATATATTATTCTCACAGCAAAACGACTGACCACGTATTATTATTTTATCAATTATAATTGGTTAATATCATAGTAAAAGCATCCTGATTGGTTAACAATGAAATCACAGAGTGTTTTAATACTACTGCATGAGCTCAGGAGACCCGTTAAAGAGCCACTTTCGGCTCGTGAGCCTCAGTCTGGGTATCATTGCATTAGGCAGCATGGGCTGCAGCAACCAGCATGGGAGCTGGAGAGCCAGAGCAAACCCCAGGGTCTGCCTGGGTCCGGCTGCCTCAATAAAGAACCACCTTTATATTCATTACAGCCGAGTCCTGTCTCCTTTCACCCGGAGAGATGCTACAGGTGAGACGCTGCTTAGCTTGGGAAATCTGACAGAGGTGATACAGCAGCTGTTGAGGGGTGGGGAGTGGTTTTTCTTTTGTTCATTGAGGGACCCTGAGTAAGAATCGAGTTCTGTTGATGATAAAGCTATGCCCTCTGGAGGATTGGGGTTTTTCTCTTCATCTGCCCCCCGAATCGGCATGTGCTAGGACTCCAGGCCACACTTTATGTCTAAGAGATGCCGTGATGAGTGCAGTAGGACATACTGCAGGAGAAGCTAGCCAGACATACACTGCAATATTTGGTGTCCTCCGACCTTTGGGCCCAGTTGACCAATTTTAGCCTGTGGTAAGTGGGAGTTGCATGTACTCACATCGGACTGAGTCCGACTCATGCACGGGGCTCTTGGAATGAAGGGCTCTGTGAATGGCTTTATAATTACAGCTGTGCTCAGTCTGCGGAGAGTGGTTGAGTGCTCGGTTACTAGGTCTACTCTGGGATTTGACATTAGCAGCGCTTAAAAAAACAAACCCACATGCTTCGCCGCGCAGAGGTACGATCCCACGAAAGCCACACAGAATCCTCCCGAAGAACCCATTCTGCATTACAACTGGGAAGGAAATGGTTTATCTTTCCCACAAGAATTTGAGATTTTGACTTTTTTCCAGTCCCGAAACAGGACAAAAATCTTGAAAATTTTCATGAACTGATAATCTGAAAGAAAAAAAAAAAGTGGTTCGGGACCACAGAAATGTTCCTTTGGATCATTTCAAACTGTTTTGATTTTGCCCTTAAATTTGGGAACAAAAGGTCATTTAGGATAAAAAACTCCAAACTTTTTGTTTTGAAAATGTTGAAACAGGATGTTTTGGCAATTTCTCAACTTTTTATCCACATTTTTTCCCTCGAAACGGGAGATTTGGGGAAGCCGACCCTTTCTTGCAAACAGTTTCGGTTTTGATTCATTTACATTTTCCCATGAAAAAAAAAGTTTTGTCGGAAAGTTTCCAGCCTGCTCTACTCTTCATCCATTCCCATCCCTAAGAGCCAAAACACTTTGTTTCTTTGTTACTGCGTCCAATGACCGTCACATTTCAGCCCAGATCTCAAGCCCTTTGAGTCGGCCGCACCCTTATCTGATACATGGGTTATACAAAAGCTTCTGGGACTGGATTTCTTTTTAAATGCATATGGCACAGTTGTGGATGCTAGATGCATAAGTCATTAATAATTATAACCAAGTTAAGCCCTGGGTCTGCTCACTTGGCCCTGGTCTGTTATATAAATCAGTTCACATTCAAAGTAACCAGACGAAGCAGTAATGGGCTTAGCAGATTTTTCAGGGGCTCCATCCTCGGGGCCACATCCCGAAGTCTTCACTAAGGCAACACTCTAATCAGCCATCAGTGGGAGACTGAAGGCCCTATCTGACGTTAATGGAAGCCCTCCCATTGACTTCAATGGGCTTTGGATCAGGCCTTGAATAAGGAATTCAGGCTCTGGCTCTAGAGACGGTCCCAAGGTGCAAAGTTCAAACCCTGACTTGGAGCTGAAATTTCCCAGAGTCCAGGGTGGTTAGCTGTAGGTTTTGGGCTGAAGCCCATCTCTGAGCTAAACACCTTGGGAATAGAGGCTCTATTTACAACAAGCTCCTTCTCCAGGCCCTGTTGCTTTGATCCCTCCCCTGAGAAGCACTCAACTGTCAAACATTTTATCTTTCCCATTAAACCTTATTATAACCAGATCCAGCTAGCCCCACGCCGAGGACCATAAATTGCCCAATGCTTCTTTATTAATAATTATATTTAGTCTAGCCATGCATCCAGCATAAGTCACAGACATTGATTGCATAAACAGCTCCATTATTTATCTCTGTATTTATCTTCTTGACTGAAACCTTTCATGGCAAAGAAAAACATGTAATAAGCCATTGAAACATGGCTAATAACAGCCTTCACCTACTCCTCTGCTCTTGGGCTTGAGTCTCTTTTGGCTGACGGATGATCTCTCGCTGGACTGCATAGATTCACCTTTCAGAAGCAGGGTTTGTTCTTAATCTCAAGAGACCAGCCACTGGCTTATTTTAGTCACCCAGGGAAAAGTTCAAAGGCAGAACAGATTAAGAGAATGAGGGGGGCTGGAGACTCAAGTGATTTATTTGTGGGGGGAAATCTGGCTTCACCCCAAACTGTTTGTTCCCTAGCTCTGAAAGTGTGATCAGCAGAAGTGCATTTCCATGGACTTGATAGGTCCTTCTGTGCTTTGCCTGATTAGGGACCTGTAATGGAGCACAGACTCACCACCGCTGCGCCTCCTGCTGGCTTGCTCTGGGAATTAGCTCATTCAGCTATAGAGCACCCTCTGCAGGTGGTGTATTGCCTGTTGTCTGCTTGGCTGTGTTGTCTCCACCACCGGGACACGCGTCGCTCTCTGGACCGCGATGTCCTCTTCAGGAGACTGCCCTCCAGCAGTGCCCACTACTCCATTCTCCCCCCTTCCAGGGGTGTATCAGCAGTCCTAGGCCACACCTGCCACCCCAAAGTCTAGTCCCTTACCTCAGGGACAAGGTGCAGTCCCTGGGCCACGCTCCCTTGTGGCAAGGTGCAGAGGAAGGGGGGAGGAATGGGGGACCCAGGCCCACCCACTACTCTGGACCCCAGCCTAGGGGCCCTTGAGTTGCAGCTGCTTGCTGCCTTCCTCAACTCCCCGTCACTGCCTGCCTTCCCATGGGCCACGTCCCCATAGCACTAGCACCCACTCAGCCCTTGTTTCAAGGCCTGCAGTCTGGCAGGGTCAGCCAGAGCTTCCACTGCCCTGTTACCCTGCCCAGCACTGCTCTGTCCAGGGAGCCACTCCTTCCACCAGGAGCCAGTCCTCCTCCCTTGCTGGTCAGGAGGAGAGTGATCTCTCCTCTGTGCTGCAGCCTTTATATAGGGCTCAGCCTGGCCCTGATTAGCTACCCACAGGCCCTTTCTGATTGGCTACCCATCTGTGCAGCCTCTCTGGCCCATTTTCTCCTGGAGTGGGGCAGCTTCCCCACTACAGGACCATATAGGTAACTAGACTGACGGACAAATCTATCACAATACAAGGCAATATTTAATTTCATTGCAGCCTCCAGATCTCTGTGAGGTTCATTAGCATCCCCTCAGTTCTCTCCTCTACTAGCAAAATTCACATCATGTTACTTTTACATTGTCCTTTGGTTAGAAATCTATCGCAGAGCTGGTTTGCTGCACTGTGTTACAGCAAGAGTTGATTTCTCTCTTCCTGAACAACTTGAGGTCACTATGGCTAGTCCCGCCCACTGTCTATACCTCAGCAATATTTGTACATCTGCTCCCAGACTATGCCACACATTTGCAGCTCAGCAACTTTTGACACGTCAACTGACTTGAGGAAAGTCTTCATGATGAACTGTGTCCTAATGAGAACTCCTCCAGATCTTGGCATTGGGGAGGAGGGATGCAGATGAGGGCCTGGGATAGCCAGCAGCCGACAGAGCTTCTTTAACGACACTTACATTGGACACATATGGGATAGCTGCCATCTTGGCCAATGGACCAGGGATTGCATTGGGGACTGCCAGAGCTAAAAGCATGAGGTGCTATGGCTTGAGTCAAGGCTGTCTAGCTTCTGTGGATTGGGCTCATGGGGGACTTGTACCAGACTTACTTGTGGGTTACCTGTACAAACCACATAGTCCAATAGGTAAAGGAATGGACTAGAAGTCAAGAGACCTGGACTCTCTGCCTACAAGGCCATTAGCTCATTGTTGGGCCAGTCACTGCCCCTGTCTGTGCCTCAGTTTCCCCGTCTATAAAATGGGAGTGATTTATACTGATCATTCTCTACAAAGTGCTCTGAGATCTCTGGGAAGAAA